TTTAGGTATAAAAACAAAAAGGAAACAAAATTTGTGGCTATGAACTGCTCCCAATTTTTAGACTAAAGTTTTGATTTTGTAATTTTTATTTTCAGTTTTCAGTTTAATTGACTAAATTCAGGAAAAATTTTTTTCAAGAAATATGATCAATAATTATTTAAAAAATCAGTAAATGGGTAGTTCTAAGATTTTTTCGTCTCATGTTTCTCTCATTTTGGCCTCAATTTTGACATGAGACACTGAAAAAAAATACACAAAGTTAATTCCGTTTTTATAAAGTTTAAAATTTAATTATTACCCCTGAAACTTGCCTCAAATTAAATTTAAAATGTTGAGCATTTTATTTTAGGTCAAGATTTTTTTATTTCTATTCTCAAAAAAAAATCTTTCAGTTTAAGTGATAAATAACTAACCTTTAGAAAAATACTCATGTAATGAAAAAAACAATTAATAAAAAAAATTGTAATTAGATAATTATGAACTTTATTTCTTCCAGTTTGGCCTAAGTTTTGACTTGAGACGCTAAAAAACTAATTTTGTTTTAAATCTATTTTAGGCCAAATTTTTTTGTTTCAATTCTGAAAAAAAATCTTTCAGTTTAATTAATAAATAACTAGTTTTCATAAAAAAATTGCAATTCAAGAAAAATAATCCATTATTATTTAAAGAAATAAAAAACACATTTTTTTGCTTTTATGTTTCTTCTAGTTTGGCCCCAATTTTGGCTTCGGACACTGAAATTTTTTTTTTCTATTCAGAAATGATACGTATATACAAAATAATCGAAACGCTGAAAAACTATTTTTTTTTTTTCAAAAAGAGACATAAATTTTTGTAATAATATTCAAAATAAGTGTTACTTAAAGTCTATTTTGGGCCAAAATTTTTTGTTTCAACTGTGAAAAAAATTGACTTTATGCTTATGTTGGTTCAAATGGTGAAAAATGCCAAAATTGTGATACTTTACGAAACTATAGGACTTAGGGCAAAAAGCGAATAAACAAAAAAATTTTTTAAGTAAAAAATTGTAGTAAGGACAAAAATAGCAAAAATATTAATTCCTCAACTATCAAGAAATTTGCAACTTTCTTGACATCAATCGACTCCCCRGAACATTTTACATAGATATAATACAAAACAATATACTTTAGACGGAATTAGACACGGAACACACTCTTAAATTCACGTTGTTATTATTATTATTATTACATTGTGTTGTTTTCACTCTCCACTTTGTCAAAAAAAATCGTTAAAGTTTGAATCTTGACAAACTAAATTCTTACCACAA